TTGGTAGCCCAGGCTGGCCTCGAACTCACAGAGATCCGCCTGCCTCTGCCTCCCGAGTGCTGGGATTAAAGGTGTGCGCCACCAACGCCCGGCGCAAAAATTCTTTAAAGACATAAACACAACATCTAGGTTACCTTCATAGACCCTAAATTGTAGGGGAGGGCACTTTGAACTAGTTTTCAAACAAACTGAAAGATAGAAACAACAACAACAACAAAAAACTAACCGAGCCTTCAAAGACATTATCATAAATATTTTCAGTTCCACATGTAGGACAAAGGCATTTGAATTTTTCACAGTCCTTGTATTTCTCTTCATCAGTCAGCTGTGCTGGACCACCAAGTAGAGCATCATTCTCTTCATCTCTGTGATACTGATGAACTCTAAATTGAGTCGAGTCAAGTCCTATCAAGCCAAAAAAAAAGATTATTCATCCAGAATAAAATACCTCCAAAGTATATCCTCCCAAAGGAATGGTTTTCAAGTTCATGCACACACAGGTAAAACCATTTGAGCTCAAGATCACATGGACAAATTGTTTCTCTTTTTATAAGAGATAATGAATCAAACAAGTAACTATCAACACAATGTGTAACACAACACTGGACATACAGGTTCAAAAGCATTTCATAGGATGGTTTTTATTCAAGTTAAACTAAAAACTCAAATAATTATGCTGTTATTATACTCAAAGTGCAACCATTAAAAGGAAACAAAACAAAATTCCCATTGAAGAAAATAGGTTCACTGCCATTAAACTCCTTCAAATGCAGACACAACTGCAAATCTTGATTTCAATGCAAATGCAGTGGTCGATTTCATCTTGGCTCAATAGTTAACAGCATGTATGTTGCAGTGTAATTCAGTGGTTGTAATTTAGTAGCAGCAATGAGGCAAAGTGCAACACCTTTTTTCTATGTTTAGAACTCAAATTTAAAACATGCATAAAAAGATGGATCTACATATTCCATAAGTCCACATACCCACCACAGCTTTGAAAGTAAATGTAATCTCTATATTTCATTTGAAACAACACAATAAATAAATCCATGGTTTATACTACCTTGTTTCCACAAACTAAAGAAATGAAACATTTTTACCAATTTAATTTTCCCCTGTTCAAAGCCTATCTGTCAAATTTTACTACTTGTATTTGTATTTAAAATTCAAACTCCTAAATTCTCTTTGGTCAGTCATCAAGTGACAGACAGTAATTACAAATTTCTGAGGAAAAAGTTTTTAGAGTAGCAAGGTGGCAAACAAGGAATAGATCTGGAGTCTCAGTGTTTTCTCACCCCAGAAAATGGAAGTGTCACCACCAGCCATACAGTTTTGAATTTCAAATGAGATAATAAAAGTGTAAGCCTAGTTTAATGGTACTCACTACATGTTAAACACTTAATAAACCACACTTGAATACAACACAAAGTAGTAAATGGACGCCATTTAATCCAGACTATATTCACATGAAACACACATTCATGCTACACATGACGTTAATAACTACGCTTCATAGAAATTAAAAGTATCTCCTAATGACAGTATAAGAAAAAAATTTAAATATTTTTTCAGAACAATCCATAAAATAAGTGATATATTACTGTGATATATGGCACTTGCCCCATGTCAAGACTATCATTTTTAGTTTACAAATTATCTGCCTCCTAGAAAAACAACAGTTTAGCAAAATATGGACAAAACATACCCTCATATTTAAACAGGACAGAGGAACTGAATGTGAGAAACCACATTCATAAGTGAGGTTGTCTGCTGTCTATAGTAACAGATAAATCCACCTAGTTTATTAATCTCTAGTTGTGAATACAGAGGGTATTTACAGAATGTATTGATTAATGTGTAGCTATGAGAAAGCAGCTTTAACTTTTCTGAATGTATAATTGTTAATCAATTTCCAATAGTAATTTTAACTTTAAAGGAGGAGTGGGAGATAGTTTTCTAAAAGGCAGGATTCTTACACGCTGCCCAAACAAAGGAACAAAACCCTGTTGGATTGTACATATGCACAATTAACCAAGGGCTGTTCCCTAGCCTCCTTGATCAGCCCTGTTTCACTTGGCACTCCTGAGCACACTAGTAGCTAGGCAGTCAGCCTACTGCCCGATGGGCTAACCAAAAATGGACATAGTCTATCTTGCTACTTACAGAGCACAACCAACAAATGTCTGACCGTGAGAAAAAAAAAAATCAGGTCCTATGCAATATCTACTCTAAATGTTGACTTCCACAAATGACTGTTATCTTCCCATGGCAGTAACTATGCCATCTGGCCCAGTTAATTACTTCAGATTCATTCTGAAGCTGAACTGTTTCAGTGGAAGAAGCTTTAATCTTGTATTCGCTTAGCTATGGTTCTTGTTAATTATTAAAAACACAAAAGAAAAATAAAGTGTGATTAACTTTAAAGTATTAAGCATACGACAGTCTTTGTACTTACTACTTCAATACAAAAACATCATTAAACAAGTGGTATTCTTGGAAGGAGAGTTATACATGTAGCAGGAAAATTGAAGAGGATTTACATTTTTAAAGTAGACATACTATGCCATGTTCTAAAAAAAAGAAAAAGGATCACAATCCTTGTAGGAAACTTGAAAACTCAGGGTAGAGCAAATCCCAAACATAACCAACACACGAAGTAATTTAACCAAATTATCATAGAATATTTCAAAGTTTTAGTCAACTTGAAAGTTTTACTGCTTATACCAGAACTTATTAAGGCTGGTAATTTTCAAACGGAAAAAAGTATCTGGTGCTGCCACCTAGAGGTAGAGATTTTGAATTTTAAGACCGCAAAATAGACCTGAAGCATAAAACTCCCTTTGTGTGACAACCCAAAATTAAAAGCTGTCAGAAGTGCCGTTAAAGCACAATCTTTACCATCACACTTGCCCTGCCTGCATATATGTTCTGTAATTAATATTAAACTGCTCACAGTGTGTAACCATATGAAAGCTCAGCAAGAGATGTAAAACTGAATTCCAAATTCCTTACCTCTTCTACCGACAGCTTTCTCTGAACAATTGGTTTAGAGAAACAAACTTTAAGCCCTGTTTGAGAAAGGAAACTTGCACTTCCACTAGACTGCTTTTAGGTGACTTGAATCATTTGGTCAGACAGAAAATAAAGAAAGGAGTAACCTCAGTGAGCATTGGAAAACCAGTTTTCTGGCAGAACAGCTGTGATTTCCACACAATAACCAGAGATGATGTGATGTATGCTTGAATTCAATCCTGCAACTTGTAGTGATCAAGTCACTTGTGCTGAGATGGGAGGGACAGAAGAGGTAGTAGAATGAAATTAAAATACTGTCATTTATAATTAGAAAATTTCTAGGATCTCACATTATTTTGGCAACAGGATCAAAGCTCTCAGTTTCAAAGGCATATTTATAGAAAGTAGCATCACAGGCATTGGGTGGGTGAGTTTAGCTGTACAGTTTTTACTTAATATCACCACTCTTAATCACACAATGCAACATTTGACATATAATTATTTTTTCTACTATTGTCTTTTTTAAAGCATTGCAGACTACTTCTGTTCTTGGAATATGTCTTCGTTTATGTCCCTTCTCAAATATTTAAATTGTTTATAATTCAAGTCATATGTTTATCTGAGAAACATCATGACACACTTGTTCAAATATTTATCTTTTCTTCCAAAAAAACAAGGTCTCAATACAACTGAAAATAAATGCAGTAAAGCCGGTTAATTCGTTCAAGTGGGAAGAGGGAAAATCTATATAGGTAAAATTCCAAGTGAGAAAAGGAAGTAACTGTTATCCACAAGCAGTTGTTTGTAATAAGAGTCAGTTGAGATACTAAAGAAGCCAATTAATACAGACTTGTTATTGCCATTCTTTAATGAAAATGTATCTCAAAAAGTAAAAACTCATTTTTCCTTTGCACGTATCTAGGCTTACAAGTATCTGGACTTCCTAGAAAACAATATATAAAATGAAAATTTAGTATTAAAGAAAAAATGTGAAAATTTGAAGGGTCAATGCTATCTCTGTAAACAGCTGTAAATAAAAAAGCTGCCCAGTTTTATTCATTATAGTCCCAGGTGAAAACTAGGTTAATGGATATTAACAGCAGAATGATCTACCAACAATACTAATCAGCAATGAAAAAAAATGGATTCCAATAGAAGTAACATGATAGAGTTCCAAAAAAATATTACATGAAGTCAAAGAAATTGAACCTAACAAGAACATACTGTAGAAAATCGTTTACATACAATTATAGACAAGGGAAAACTCATCTAGGGTGACAGAAATTAGATAAGTGTTGCTGTTGTGAGAGTGTTGACCGGAAAGGGCAGAAAGAATGAAGTAGTCTTGAAGTGATAGAAATGTTCTAAAACTGATTTATAGCAGTCTTAAGATTCTTGAGCCTTTCATGATAAAATATGTAAATCCTACTTATTAAAAAAACATCGGGACTAGGAGATGTTCACAATCTGTATTTCCAAGGGGATCATATTTACAACATGTAAGAAATGCCTGCAAATTAAGAGATAAACACAATTCAACAGAGGAGATGTTTAGCTGACCAAGAAACTTGGGGAAAGTTTCATCAATCATCAAATGCGAAGTATAACCACAATGGTAGGTATCACACTGCATAAAATGAAGAAGAGAGACAATACCAAATGTTGGTAGGAACACAGAACATTCAAATACAGTTTGCAAGGTTGTTAGCTCCACTTTAGAAAATTGGAAGCAACCACTGAAGCTGACTGAACTGGCTTGTATACAGTGGCCTAACAGTAGTACTAAGTACACACCCAACAGAAATAAATAACTATGTTTAACAGAAGACATGTACAAGAATTCTTCAAACAGTGCTATTCATAATAGCCAAATGTTGGAACAACCCATGAACATACATACAGGAGGTATTAATACAGTGGAGTCATACAATGAAACACTATGTAAAAATTACCAAAAGTACAATTACACAGATGAATCTCTGAAACATAATAGAGTGGAAGTAGCCAGACACAAAGAAAAAAAGGCACAATTCATACAATGTCCCCAAATAAAAAAAAAAATCTTCTGAGTTAGAAGCCATGATACCAATTTCCTAGTAGTGGAAGACCATCTCAAGGAGACAGAAGAGTGCTTCGGATAATGTAATACACTGTTTCATGAACTCAGTTCAGACTACACAGCTGTGTGTTGATGTGAAAACCCAACAAGCTGTTCAGTTAGTTTATTTTTTATTTTTTGTGTGCGTATGAAACTCCAAAAAAATTTAAACTCAGGAGGTGAGAAAGGTGAATACTAAATACTTCTTATGATAGACCTATAGTTTGTCTCAAAGTCATGACTAGATATAATATATTTCTAGAAAGATGTACAAAACATCATCTGGGAAGTAATC